AAAAGAAAACAAAAAAAAAAATAACATAAACAAAATTAATTATAAAACAATATGACAAAAATTAACAATTTAAAGGGGAAATTACAGATCAATATAATATAGTACAATTAGAAGCAACATATATAACCTGAAGATAAAATCGAGATATCTCATTTCCTGCAATTCTTGCCTGGTGTAAACTCCTCTTTTTTTTTATTTTTAAATAATATCGTAAATGATATTATCTAGTCTTTTTTTAAAGACAGCTAAGGATGACGCACAAAGTACATCGTTCGGTTATTTGTTCCAGTAGTTAATAGTACGAATAAAGAAGTCATGAGTCCTTAGTTTAGTTTTGCATATAGGTTTTAGTAATTTTAAGCCATTAGTTCTTGTTGGATTCAAATTTAGTCTAAAGTTATAATATTTCGAGCAATCTAGTTTAACATAACCATACAGAATCTTATATGTGTAAATTAAATCTTGTTTAATTCTACGAACTGAGAGAGAATCCATGTTATGTTGTAGAAGTGTTCTTTTATAATTAAAATTATAATTTTTATTAGGAGAGAGGCGTCGTAGAAAATATTTTTGGATTCCTTCGATTATTTTACCTGTTTTGCGATGTCTCGGGGAGTAACATGTAGTATTGTAGTTAAGAAGAGGCCGAACGAATGTTTTGTATAATTTGATAAGAAAACTTTCAATTTTGTTCTTAAACGAACGAAAAATAAAATTTATCATCCTTGAGGATTTTTTTACTATGGTTCTGCAGTGAAGATCGAAATCGAGATTTTCATCCATGATTATTCCAAGATCGGAGATGTATGAGACTCTTTTGATTAAATTACCATTTATAAAAAGGTTAGGAAGATCGAATCCTTTAGAGTTGATGTGAAGAACGCTACATTTTTGAAAGGAAAGGGTAATTTGCCTGTCATATAGCCAGTCAGCTATTCTGTTGAGGTCCTCCTGCAGTGGAGATAGGCTATCCGCTCTACCATGAGAATAATAAATTTTACAATTATTAGCATAAAGATAAATAGTAGAATTTATTACCACTGTGGTGATATCATTTATATATAATAGAAATAGCAATGGCGCAATACAACTTCCTTGGGGTACGCCTGATTTAACAAATATCATGTCAGAAAGAGTGTTGTTAACATATACAGCCTGGTAACGATCTTTCTTTACTCATTACTTTTTTATTCGTAATTACTGGAATAAATCATCGAGCGATATAGTTTATGCATCATCTTTAGCTATCTTTTAAAAAAGGTTACATAATATCATTTATAATATAAAAAGTGCACCCTGTAGGAAGAGTGAAATCTCGACTTTTACCATCCGACTATATGTTAATTTTTGTCGTATTTTGTGTTTTTCTCTCTTTACTAATTTTTATTATTTGTTGTTATTAATATAAGGACACGGCATTGTCGTCCTGCTTTGCTGGTTTCAATAAATAAATAAATAAGAGCCTTCTCGAAAAAAATTGGTTATTTAGAAAATATTTTAAAAAAAATTTATTGCACTGCACTCTATTCCCCCGCTCTACGAGGATACTCTAAGAGTGTGAACGCAGGCATCAATTAACAATATTTCTTCATTCACCGCACTTGTTAGCATTAGAACTGGAATAATTTTTAAGGTTAAAATTAAAGATAATTAAGATTAAAGTTTGATTTATTTTATTAAAAAGACTTTACTCGAAGGCGGTACTGAATAAAGCAATCTTAGAAAAAATGAGCAGAAAGTTAAAAGCCAAAAAAGTTTAGAAACCACTAGTTCAGTCTGGTTAATAGTATAGAAAAAAGATGGCAATCCTGATATCCACTTCTTGTTTCGAAAATCTTTTCATCTCAGCTACAGATATCTCATGAAATAATTTGATTTATAAGATAAATAAAGAATTCATAATTAAATATATAGTTTTGGCATAATCTTTCTCTTATTATTGAACCAACTCAAATCCCTTAATTTGTCACCTGTACTGAAGTAATTATCCAATCTCCATCCGTTGAGCAAAGAATTGCTTTTAATCGCGCAAATATTCGCCTGCAAAAGCAATTTCTTGCAATTTTAGCCTGAAAAAAATTTGTAATCAACACAGAGCGATAATTTTGTCGTAAACTCAAGATCTTTTCGCCATATTGATGCAAAAAAATTTTTATAAAAACCCAAGTTTGTTTCAACTTTCGCGTCAACTTAAGATTAATTTTAAATTTTGGATTGGGTACTAACCTGTTGATTTTCAGTTGTAAGAAAAGGCTTTTTAAGTGGATCAGCCAAAATATTGTTTTCTGTGGGCATGGCATGAAATTTAGATACGTTTACACTATCGTTTTCTCGTTGATTTAGGAAGAATCGTTTCCTTATTCCATCTATTTGTCCACCATTTGATTTATTTTTTCGATTTTTTCTGTACATTTTGTGAAAATATTTATTGCACTGAATTCGATTACTATTTTGATCATTTTTTCATAATTTTCCTTGCTTTCCTTATTAAATAATATTGATTGATAATAATCATGTGTTATCTTAAGAGCACTATAGTCACAGGCGCTATTTCTGGTTTGGTAGGTTTCTTATTAAACTAAGTCCTTTTAGTCGTAGACATATTTTGAAGAAGAACTATGCCAGTATGCCTTTAGCCAAAGTATCTTTCCTTCATAAGTGACGAAGGTTACTTTCGATTTTCGAGCATCGTTCTGATTCAAGTAAATAAACGAAAAATTCTTTTAAAATGAAAGTCATACCTGGTTTGGTTTAGCCAATGCCCCAAAACTTTTGACCCAATTTGTCTCTCACGTTCCCATCTACAAGAATACATATATTTATATATAAATTATATATTTATAATGGAGAAATTTTTGTGTGCATATAATTTATATAGCAAATAAAAATCTTATGGACGAATACAATTTTTAGTTCAATTAGTTATCAAATAATTTATTTCTGAAATATATTTTCATGCAAATATAATACAATTTATGTAAGTATAAGATCGCCACAATCTAATTGATAAAATAACTGGTTCGGCTTAAGGAACGAAGGTTTTAAATAAAATAACAAAAAATTTTCATTCATTATGATGGACTGAGATCTCATAATTTGAAGTCGCGGCAACATTATTTTTCATATATGTCCACAAATAGTAATACATGTATCAAAATGGCAAAATTTCATAACTAAATGATTTAATAATAGCTTTATATTTTTAGGTCTAAAATTGTAAAATCATACCTGTTTAACTGACAAACAATTGCCAATTCCACAAGTGTGCCAAATATAAATATAACCGAAAAAATCATCCAAACGTCAAGGCACTGAAACTCTTTAAATTATCAGCTAGGTTCACGTCAGTCTATTAAAAATGAATGCAGGTTATTCAGCTATTCAGCATTCTACATGGTTTCACTTCGCTATCAAAGTTGAAAATTACTTTGATATAGCTGACTCTTGGTAAATGACGAAGTACATTGCCAAACTGGAACGTTAATGCAAGTAATGACGATACACCAAGTGTTATCCTAAATTATAATATGAATTCTATTCCTTCACATGTTTTTGAAGTCACAACTAACATTACTTATGCAAGCAGCAGTTATAAGCGCTTAGATCCGCTAATTATTTGAAATTCACGATTTAAAATGATTATTTTAACCAAAGGAATATTAAATATTATGAATTCTTCGGAATCTTTCCAACTGTAAGTAAATTTATAAAATTAATTTATAATTACCGCGCCGAAACTGATCGAACATCGAAGAAAAAACCGACCCATGAACTGATAACTGTGAGTGAAGTGGGAAAATACGATTGGAATAAATAAAACCCATAACGACGAGCAAATGTAAATTTAACCTGTATTTTATTCTAATGAAAGCATTTTATAATTAAATTTCCTTTAAATATTAATAATAAATATTATTTTCCAATTTCAATTCATATTTATAAGCAGATAAATGATGAGGGCTCACTAATCTCACTCGGGATGTTAGTACGGCGAGAAATAGATTTTAGGCGGCCGATCACTGCTACTGGGTTTTTTTAATACGGTTTTACTCCTGTTGAAAGAGTTTGAAAAAGAAGAGAAAGAAATGACGCTTCGAAACGATAAATTGACCACCCGGCTGTTTTTTCGCATAATTAATTTGTAATTTTAAGTAAAAATATTACTAAAGCACGATCCCATTCACCATTTGGATAATCAACACGTTGATGATCAGTGCTCCAACCAGTCAAATCGAAATCTGGTAATTCAACTTTTTCCATCAATGTTACTGGTGTATCATGCCAAAATAATCGCACTTCATCAGTGTTGAATGAATAACTCTCAAAGACAAGTTGACACTGAATCGAATCAAATGGAAACATTTTTAAATCCATTTTGCATGGAGCTTTTACCTTGAGCCTGGAACAAATTAAATTAAGTTTAATGGCAATGAATCTCCAATATGTATGAGTTATGAGAAAAAAACTCCTTGTTTCCTTATTTTCCAAACCCTATTCCATATTGATCAAATACTAGCATGAAGAATAATGAAATATGAAGAATAAGAATGATGGTTGATGGATGATGAATGATGGTTTAAATAGTAGAGATGTTCAAGAAAAAGACCATTTAAAACTTGGATTGTGGTGTAATTTGTTTATATAAATGGTTAGCGATCATCATTTCTAGTGATGCTAACTCCTACTCTAGCTTCGCAGGTTGTTATTACAATTTGAAATTTTTAGGTTGGCGGTAGGATTGCATCATTACGGAATTTTTAACAATAACCTTTTGCCTCTGAAGGATAACTATCCACTGAGTTATCATGCCCAAATGAATTTGATGTCTAATAAAATCTCGAGATTATGGCTTGTGCATAATCTTTGGACTAAAAACGTGAGATGGAGCAATTTTGACCAATTTTGCTCCTGATAATATTTACTATCAGGCTTATGCGATAAGAAATCGAACGCATTCAAGTGAAATAATGAGCCAAATTTTAATGTCGAAAATTATCAAATCTAGACTTTGGCCCATTGTTATTGCAGTGCAATTAATTGTTATTCTAAAAAATCGTTTTTTTCACTTCTTAATGTTTGTTTGTTTTGATAGTTATCCATAAATGATAAATAAAAGGTACCTGAAGTTATTCCAAAGCAATCCATGTTCATATAAAATGATAAAAGTATTTTCTGATGGTGATGAATGTATAGCAGCATTTTTGCTATTAATGATGCACGTGTCTGGCGTCCAAATTTTTTTGCGGAAATCACTTTTCAAAGTGATATTTGTTGCACATACGCTGAGATCCTTGAAACTGAGGCGCAGATCTTGCCAAATTTCACTGTACATTATATCTAATTCGAAATCACCCGTGATTTCAGAAATTCCTGTTACTCCCTTCAAAAAATTGTCATTTAATCCATAAATAATCTTTTATTCGTTTTCTTGGAAATTTTTTCACGGATGATAAATGTTCCTTTACCCCAATTTAGTTCCAGAAATTTGCAAAATTATTTTATAGTGATCTGAAAGGGATTTTGTTTCATATACTTAGATTATTTAAATCTGTTCAATAAACTTTTATCAAAACATTTCAAGTCTTCTTAAATACTACAGTTATAAATAATGAATGCCGCTTCTCAAATATTGACATTAAGACTCGATTTTTTTCATTCATTCATTACTAAATTTTAAAGCAGTGCAGTGTCCTCATTTATCCTCATTTAGAATACATTTTCTAAAAGTCGTTAAATTAAATGACTGATATATATTCTGGAATTTTTTGAACCATAAGCATGATAATTCTTCTTCTTCTTCTATCTGCTCTGATCATTACTGGTTAGGCTGGCTTCAACGGCTAGAAGGGTAAGACGCTTCCAAGCGGAGCGGTTTGATGCCATTCTAATAGAAGCCATTCTTTTTTCCATCACCTAAGTTCTATATTGCTGATCCTATACGTTCAAAATTTTTCCTGAGTGTATCAGTCCAGGTCTTTACTGGCCCTCCTCTCTTTTGACACCAACCATCACAAGTAACAAAATATCTCCTGTGGTGGACGGTAGAGAACTAACCTAACCACCGAAGGTGACGCTATGTGATAACATTATTAATACAGGTAGTGTTTGAACGAAAGTGGATGCGATCATGTGATATTTTATCGGCTCGCAATAGCATGATAATTAAGTATTTATTTAAACGTTTAGATCTTCGAGCTAATATCCACCAATTCTTGCAGTTCCATATTCCAATTAAAAGAAAATGTTAGCAAGGACTGTCGCTGAAGGAGTTTGGTAATATAATAACATACATTTTAAACTCTTTAAGAACAAACATTTTACCATGATATATGAGTGTATATGGGCTTTTATTTATTATTATTTTAATTAAATTAATTATTTATTATTATTTTAATAAAAATTAATTTTCAAATTTAAAATTTTGATCAGAAGTATCGAACAATTGCTATTCTTATTTAAATTCTTGCGTCCTCAAGAAAGTTTCCAAAATACTCAAGCAATGTGCATTGGAGAAAGCCTAATGAAACTACAAAATGAAAGCAAAATTATATAGCAGAAAATGAAATTATTCATCTGTTTATTCTTCAGATGATAACGACATAGATGAATATATATTTTTTTAAAAAAACTTTATAAAAAATTTAACCATTTCTTCTTGAATTATCTTATTCTTATGAATGTTGTATGGTTCAAAAATTTAAATTTAACTTAAAAATGACCCATAGTAGTAAATAAAAATTATCCCCAAAAGAAATATACCTGAACATGCAATTCAATGGTGACGTTAACTCCGTTTGCTTCGGGCAACAAGTGTATATCGTAATCTCTCAGCAATACATCGATTATATGGCCAAGATTTATCGAATTTCTGGAAAAATAAGGGTCACTGGATAAGTGTACAAGTATGCCTAAGTAAATAAATATTATAAATATTTTCAGGATAAATTTTAGAAGTTTTCGTGTGATTTGAAAGCTTCAGTGAATGGCTTGTTAATGTTTTTTTAACTACTGGAGAGAATTCTTTGAATTTAAATTTAGCTACGATGGATCAACCAGTACTCCGAACATGAACATCTACAAAACTGTAATTGTAAATAATCTGTATTCTAATTTAGAAGTAAATGAAATCTTCGAGGTGAATTCTTAAACTTTGCCCAGCTTCGTTCACAGCCCACCTGCAGAGGTTATATTTGTTGATATGGAATAACAAGCAAATATCATTCGAGCAGTGAAGCGCATTTCTATGCATTATTTTAAAATTAATAGGACCCTGAGAAAACTAAAGGAATCAGCTCACTATATATTTCTGGCAAAAGTTTTGCTTTCTTTTCGATGAATAGGGTGTGTAAAATAAAAATAAGACACTTGGCTTATTGGATTTAGACTGAGACATAGTAGACCAAATTTTTATATGAATGAAGGCAGGCAAGGCATTTGTGCAAGTGCATGTATGTAAGAGAATAACTTTACAAAATAGGAATTTGTTGATTTGTTCTTAAGTCAGTAGATTGTTCTATAGATATCGCTTGCTTACAAAAAGTGTACAAAATCAGTCCAGAGCATAGAATTGTTGACCTTAAATATGATGGATATTGCGTTTTTCGTTAACAGTTACGAAAATCTGCAGCAAACATTAGACTTGATATTTATATCATTGCAAATAAGATAAAACTCAAAACATCTCATATATCTCATATAACATCTCAATTCTGTTATGGCCACGGTTTCTGCAATTTCATCATCATTTCAAAAAATGATAGATTGCTTACTACACCACTTATTCATTTTTAAACAATTTAGATAGCTGAGTTTAGACGTGTTTTCGACTTATTCACAATCAATACAAAATTAGCTTTATAAAGACATTACTCTGATACTTACAGTCCTATTATGCAGTTGCTTAGCATGATTAATGAGAGCGGAAGATATCAGGATGTCATCATTTAACGATTCTTTTTCAAGAAAATCACTTTCTTCTTAGAAAAATGCTAATAGCTCTCATCATTACTGGTTAGGCTGGTTACAAGGGCAGGACTCTCCACGCTGCTCGGTCGGACACCATCGCTAATAGTAATAGAATCCATTTCTTTTTCCATCGTCTAAGTCCATATATCGCTGGTCCTCCTATACGTTCAAATTCTTTCCTGACTGTATTAATACAGGTCTTGACTGGCCCTCCTCTTTTTTAACGTCACAGGATTTAGCTTACGAAGAAAAGCGTTTGGAAGAAAGGCATGCTGCGCAAAAAGCTAAAAAATAAAGCATATGCATATTACAAAAGAAATTTCTTACCTATATTCAAAATTTTTTTTCGAAAGCGATAGTTATATCATTTTTAAGTATTTAAAAATTTGAGTATTAAAAAAGATTCGGTTGAGTAAACGTTTTGAAATGTGTGGCAACTCCTATGATGGACGACAGAGAACAAGCTCTAACCAGCGAAGGCGACGCTCTGTGATAACATTGGTAATACAGGTGGTATTTGAGCCAAGATGGATACAAGTGAATCTATTGCGAGAAATGATATTACACTTCTCACTATTTGCTAAGTTCTACGACAGACGAAGACAAAAATGAAATGGACCAGTCAAGAACAGACCGATGCAGCTAAAGCAGGCATCGAGTGCATAGGGAGTATAATGATATGGACTGATTTATGGTCTTAGGCAACGGAAAAAAGAGTGACACGACTTATTTCAAGTGTGCTAACGAAATGAGAGGCTGAAAGCGTCATTCCTTAGTCGCCAACCCAACTAGTAGTAATGCGAACTATTAGAAGAAGAATGAAACTATTTCGATTAAGGTTAAGATAAGTGAGCAAATATTTTGAAGGATTCCAGTTAAGAGGAGCATAGTCGAGTGGTACGGTTTCAGCAATCATACCTTGCCAGGACCTTGTCACTGAAGATGAAATCCGAATTTTGCTGGAGATATATCTATGCTATATATTCTTATATTATGAAATTGATGGTGACAGTGGCAGTTATCATAGTACTCAGTGGAGTTAGCTAAATCAGAAACAATGATTGCCTGAGAAGAAAAAAAGAAGGTTGGCTACCTGGTTACTCTTAATTCACATTATGAAAGGTGACAAAGCGTAAATTGATAACGTTTCTGAAATGAGTTTTGATAAAAATATCAATTTATTCGTTTTTTTTCATACTTCAAATCTATGAATTCTCGCCTCAATTATAAGTGTAAAAATTTTATTGTTTTCGCAATGTGAAAGAATATCAGTAAAAAATCACATTATATTCCCTTTCTCCTCAGTCATCGCCGTTTGGATTTTTCACCAATTTTTCTTGAAATGAAAGATATTAAAAAAGTTTTTCTAACTGAATTTACCTCTTGGCTAGCGAGAAAAAGGTTTTAAAAAGCCTTTATCCTTCTGCTTATGCATTATGCATTATTATGAAAAATAAAAGTAAAATTTTTTTTTTTTTAATAAATGAGATTATATTGCGATATGTTTGTAAGGATTGTACGATACAATAATAGATATAGATATTTTTAAACATGCAGGAATACCTTTTTCCCAGAAATTTAGTGTTTCTGATTTTCAGTTTTTCCTCTTCATTTAATTCCTTTAATTTCGCTGTTAGTAAATGCCACATAGTTATCAATTTTTAAATTCTAAAAATCTTTATTTTTAAGTTTTAAAAATACATGGAAAAACTCAATAAAATTTTCTTTTTTTTGCCTACAATTTGCTGAGAATCCCACTTATTGCTTACATTCTCATCGATAGATTTTACCAGTTAAATAGGGTAATCATGCTTTGATAAAGTAGAAATAGAAACATATAATCCTTTTCTTATAATAATAAGATTTGAAAAACTTCTAGAAATTAAGTTGAAGAGGCCCTAATCCTTTTTTTACTTTGATAGGATTATTCGAGCCTATGGGCCTAAAATTACATCCTTTTTTAAGTGCTTTTAAGTGCATGGCATGAAGTAAAAACCAGAAAAAAAATTTTCTTCCACAGTTGAATGAGACAAACACATATTTATGGCGAAAATAGGAGATTCATTGTTCTTTTTAAATATTTCCAGTAGCATTTTATCGTACATGCCATTACATGCCATTTTATTCTGGAAATTTTGAAATACGTCCATGAAATAATTTATCTTGCACATGGATTTAACCACTTACAATCAAGAAAAGAAAAGAAATAAATTGAACGAGTCCCTTATATAATACTTTTATTAAGATCATATTTGGACTCTTTTTTAACTTTTTTTTAAAACCATTTTTAACCAAATCCTCTTAATTATTCTTGGAATTTGTGATTATACTTAAAATTAAAAATTGATTCTTTGATTTTTAACTATGATTGTTTATAAATATCTTATCTTAAATTTATAAGTGAATCCATCATCTTAATCCATCAACATCTTTATAAATTAATATTCTGAGAAAATATACACAATTGAATAAAAACATCAAAAATGAAGTTAAAATGATTTATCAAAAATTATTTAAAAACTTTTGCGCCATCTAAATCTTGTTATATTTAATTATAATTAGTAATTATATACAATTATAATTACAACAATTAAACGCTCATTTTAAGAAAGTGTTGGCAATTTTCAAACAATAATTTTCATCTTGAGCTTACTTAGCTTTTCTACATTAATTAGTTTTTAATTCAGAAGGGGGGAAGGAGAAGGTGAAGAAGAAGGTAAAGAAGAGAGAAAGAAGAGTTATGAATATGAATATGTAAAAAAATTCTTGTAGATAAATTGGAGGGGAAGACATCATTTCAAGGAACTAATTAATTTCATTTTTATCGCATCTTTCTAATTTATCCGTTTTATTATTCTTATATTAATAATTTTTCCGCTTTACAATTTTTTTAAAATAATAATAGTAATAGTATTAAACAAAAACAACAATAGTAATAACAGATTGCTGGGTTTTCAAATAATTTGTTTGCATAAATAATTTGCAATTTCCTACATAATTAATTTTTATCTATAATTTTTTAGATTTTCAAACAATTAATTTTAAAACTTTATTTTTATAATATATAACATATTTTCACCACAGCAGCCCCTGAAACAAAAATAAAATCATTGCTATCAATTTCTGCGAAGATAAAATAAGACGAAAATGAAGCTCGCCCCTCCATAAAGCGTCAATTTTCAGTAAAATTAAACTAGAATTGATAAGAGAAATCGGATTTTGAAAATTGAAAATTACTTTCGGATATTGGATATTTTAATCTTTCAATTTCAATTTTTTTAGTTCTCAATCCACTTTCTTCTCCATTACATATGGTGCTTGGTTAAGTAGAAAAGAAAAGAAAATATTTAACGCAAATTTGTGGTATGAATTTTCATCCATGCTGCTAGTTTTGAATTATATTTTATACAACGATTAAGGTAAATAAAATTTAACTTAATGATAAATTTCGCCAAAAGCTGATTATAGCAATTACAAAATTTGTAAAATTATAAGTTTCATTACTTTCTTAATTTTTAAGCGAAAAATAGTTTTTATTAAGCATTAATTTTAAGTTTATTAATATAATATGTTTAAGTTTAAAATAATATATTTAAAAATAAGTTTATTAATATGTTTATTAAATAGAATTATTTCCTAACGAACATATCAGAAAACCAAATTACCTTTCAAGATTATTTACTTGGTGGGATTAATGAAATAAAAAAATTGAAATAGACTAAGATCTGAATAGAATGAATGACTAGAAATATCTCAAAGTTGAGGGCAATATGCCTGAATGGAATATTGTTTAGCTTATCATTCCAATCGTTATGGTCCAGCATTTATCTTTGATAGGAAAAAAATTCATTGGATATTCTAATCACGCAATTTCAATTTAAGAAAACCCAGGTTGTTGGATCTACTTGTTGAGTTTATTTCTATCCACATGTGGTCGCAGTGATGAAAGTATTTCATCTTAATAACAACTAGCGCAAACCTATCGAAATGATGTTAAAAAACACATGAGTGAAACGGAATGCTGCGAATATAATTTTAAATTTCTTCATAATTTGTCAACCATTTCTGGCTGATCGAATCCACTGGCTATTATGATTTGGCCGAAAAGTCACCTGGAGATAGTAAATCAGTTGAGTGCTTAGCAAAGCTTATAATAATCACTAAATCTTCAGAAACATATTTCTATTGATTAGCGCAGTTTCGATAGTTTAAAAATAATAACACAAAACATTATTTGTCCGCTATAGCAATAATTTAATATAAAAAATTATTCGTGACAAAATAGAGTTAATATCCTTTCGTGCAATTTTGACCAAAAGTAGTCCATCTGCTTTTTTTTCTTGAAAAAACTAATTGAATAGTGAAAAAAATAATTTTGCTTAAAATAAAGAAAATCTATAGAATATTAAAGACAAAAAAACAATTCAAGAATGGACTAAAGTTATAGTGATTTATTATAATAATTAATAATTTATTTAACAAAAAATGCTTATACCTCTGGTTAAACTTGCTTCCTCTGTTGCTAATATATTAAGAAATGCCAGAAAATAATTGGGCTGTGAAAGTACAATAAGTCTATTTGATGACAGGCTTATTCATGCCAGAGGCAAAGGCTCAATCCTGCCGATAATCTCACAACGGCTAGACTCTCGAAGTAATTTATGATTGATTTCTTGTTAGGTTCACCGAATAGATATTTCGATGAATTTTTTCCAGAGAATAAAATTTTTGATGGGAAAAATAACCAGTAGTTGAGAAAAACTTCCAGACCAAATCCTAAATTATTCTCAACAACAATAAAATTCCTATTTTTAATCAAT